TATTTTTTCTGCTTCTTCCATAGTCATTTGTTTTCCTGTTGAATTTTACTCTATTTTTTTTTGTGTGGATTTTTACCTTTTTAATTCATTTACTTTTATTTTAGTGAGGCATAGGATAGGAAAGAATATAAATACATGTTGTCAAACCATTATCTATAACTAACTATTCTTCCCTCTTAAAACATAATCTCAGTGAGGCATTAGCCATGAAAAAGTTCACTTAACTTTTCCCCTCTTACTCTAGGTCTTCTGAGGGAAATTAATTAGAGTTTCAGGAGTCAAGAGAAATAGTTTCACTGACTATTTCATGTACACCTCGGCATAATGTAGTTAATTTTGCACTTCTTTTAAGGCTTAGTTGCTCAGTTCAAGAAATGTGAGTTTATTCAGGGAGAGAAGATTAACATGAAGAGTTATTCTGTCTCCAGGACAAAGTGAAAGATCTTGAGCTTGAAGACCCTTCCCTGTCTGGTCTTCAGGCTCATCTTCTTTCTGGCTTCCCTTTGTGTGTCTACACCAGTCTACCATGCATTTCATGCTGCCAGACCTTTGCTCATGCTAGGTCCTCTGCCTAGAATGTACCCTTCCTTCTATAGCTCCTTGGGTTCACCAAAGGCAGGCATCATATTTTAATTCCTAGTAGTTGCATCTTAGACATTCAAAATGTTTAAATGAATTTTACTCATCCTTCTAGCCTGGAGCAAGTTCAAGTGTGACCCCTCTGAATCACACAGTCCTTTACCTCTCTCAGCGTTAATCATTTTCTTATCTGTTTCTTTAGTTAGTTGTGTACATGTGTATTTGTTCTGATAAGTTCTGGGAGTGCATGGACCATGTATCATTAAGCTGTATATTACCAGGGTCTTGCATTGTGCTTGGTACCCAGTGAGCACTCAAAAAGTATAGGCATACCTAGTTTTATTGTACTTCACTTTATTAGGCTTAGCAGACATTGCGTTTTTTTTTTTTTTACAAATTGAAGGTTTGTAGCAACCCTGCGTTAAGCAAGTCTATGATGCCATTTTTTCAACAGCATTTTCTCACTTTGTGTCTCTGTGTCACATTTTTGAAATCCTCACAATATTTAAAACTTTGTCATTATTATTATATTTGGATCTTTGATGTTGCTATTATAATTGTTTTGGGGTGCCATGAACTGCACCCATGTAAGATGGCAAACTTAATAAATGTTGTGTGTGTTCTGACTGCCCCACCAACCATTCATCAACCCACTCTTTCTCCCTTGCCTCCGGCCTCCCTATTCCCTGAGACACAGCAATATTAAAATTGGGCCAATTGATAACCCTACAATGGCCTCTAAGTGTTCAAGTGAAAGGAAGAATCACATGTTGCTCACTTTAAATCAAAAGCTAGTGAGGACGGCATGTGGAAAGCCAAGACAGGCAGAAAGATGGCCTCTTGTATCAAACAGCCAAGTTGTGAATACAAAGCAAAAGTTCTGGAAGAAAATTAAAAGCGGTACTCCAGTGAACACATGAATGATAAGAAAATGAAATAGCCTTATTGCTGATATGGAGAAAGTTTTAGTGGTCTGGATAGAAGATCATACCAGCCCCAACATTCCCTTAAGCCAAAGCCTATTCTAGAGCAAGGCCCTAATTCGTTGTAATTCCAAGAAGTCTGAGAGAAGAGAAGAAGCTGCAGAAGAAATGTTTGAAGCTGGCAGAGGTTGGTTCATGAGGTTTAAGAAAAGAAGCCGTCTCCATAACATAAAAGTGCAAGGTGAAGCAGCAAGTGCTGATGTAGGAGCTGCAGCCAGTTATCCAGAAGATCCAGCTAAGATAACTCAAGAAGGTGGCTGCTCTAAACAACAGATTTTCAATGTAGACAAAACAGCCTTCTATGGAAGAAGATGCCATCTAGGACTTTCATAGCTAGAGAGGAAAAGTCAATGCCTGGCTTCAAAGCCTCAAAGGACAGGCTGACTCTCTTGTTAGGGGCTAATGGAGCTGCTGACTTTAATTTGAAGCCAGTGCTCATTTACTATCCTGAAAACCCTCTGCCTGTGCTCTATAAGTGGAACAACAAAGGCTGGATGATAAGATATCATGGTTTACTGAATATTTTAAGCCCACTGTTGAGGCCTACTGCTCAGACGAGATTTCTTTCAAAATATTACTGTTCCTTGACAATGCACCTGGTCACCCAAGAGCTCTGATGAAGATGTACAATGAGATTAATGTTGTTTTCATGCTTGCTAACACAACATCCATCCTGCAGCCCATGGAGCAAGGGGTAATTTTGACTTTTAGGTCTTATTATTTAAGAAATGCATTTCAGGGCCAGCCGAGTGGCTGTTGGTTAAGAGTTTGCTTAAGAGCACGAGCTCTGAGCAACAGTGTCGCTGGTTTGATTCCCACATGAGCCAGTGAGCTTTGCCCGAGCTGCACCCGAGCTGAGCTGCTGCTGAGCTGCCAACAGGTGGCAGGATGGCTCATCTGGTGGGAGCACGTGCTCCTAATAACGAGATTGCCTGTTTGATGGTGGGCTATGCCCACCCACAGCTGGGACTGAACTCAGCACCTTGAGCTGAACTGCCGCCCGGAGGGCTCAGTGGATAAAGCGTGCACTCTTAACAATAAGGCTGCTGGTTCGACTCCCACATGAAAAAAAAAAAAAAGAGAAAAGAAATAAATGCATTTTATAAGGTAGCTGCCATAGATAGTGATTCTCTGATGGACCTGGGCAAAGTAAATTGAAAACCTCCTGGAAAGGATTCACCATTCTCAATGCTGTTAAGAACATTTGTGATTCATGGGAAGAGGTCAAAATATCAACATTAACAGGAGTTTGGAAGAAGCTGATTCCAGTCCTCATGGATGTTTTTGAGGGGTTCAAGACTTCAGTGGAGGAAGTAACTGCACATGTGGTGGAAACAGCAAGAGAACTAGGATTAGAAGTGGAGTCTAAAGATGTGACTGAATTGCTGCAATCTCAAGATAAAATTTTAACAGACGAGGAGTTACTTTTTATGGATGAGCAAAGAAAGTGGTTTCTTGAGATGGATTCTACTCCTGGTGAAGATGCTGTGAAGGTTGTTGAAATAACAAAGAGCTTAAAATATTACATAAACATAGTTGATAACGCAGCAGCAGGGTTTGGGAGGATTGACTCCAAGTTTGACAGAAGTTCCACTTATGGGTACAGTGCTATCAAACAGCATCGCATGCTACAGAGAAAATCTTCATAATAAGAAGAATCAATAGATGCAGTAAGCTACCTCATTATTGTCTTATTTTTAAAAATCGCCACAGCCACCCCAACCTTCAGCAAACACTGCCCCAATCAGTCAGCAGCTAATCAATATCAAGGCAAGACCTTCCACCATCAAAAAGATTACCATTTGCTGGACGATCAAATGATGGTAGCATTTTTTAGAAATAAAGCTTCTTTTAATTAAGGTGTGTACATTGTTTTTTTTGGATGTAATGCTATCACATACTTAATAGACTACATTACAGTGTAAACATAACTTTTATATGCACTGGGTAACCAAAAAATTCGTGACTCGTTTTATTACGGCATTCACTTTATTGTGGTGGTCTGGAACTGAACTCACATGTCTCTGAGGTATGCCTGTACTTATGTTTATATGGGAGAGATAGAAGGAAGAACTCGTAGATTTTCATTAAAAGCATATGTACAAAATTAGCATGTTTACAGATTAACTTCATGAAAGTTGTGTTTTATGTTCCTTTTAAAGAGTTCAAAGCATTCTCAAAAATAGATTACTGGATTTAGTTATTCCTCCTTCCTTTGCCTCCTCTACTCCTCCCCATGCAGATGAAGGGATGGTTACCCATATTGCGGATAAATTGTAAATGCCGTACTAGAACAAAATTAACTGCCCAATTAAATGAGGACATTATATGTCACCATTATCTCACTCTAGGTAGTATACACCTATAAACAAAACCCCATACAGTTTAGAACAAAAGAAGGGTATGCGCCTGTCCTCCTTCACCCCTCCCTCCCTCCCTTGCTTTCTCTTTGGGAATGGATGACTGTTCTGTGCAGAGGAGAGAGCCAAGCTAAAATAATGTTTACATTTAAGTTCTGGATATTATTTGCTTAATTTAAGGTCTTGAAAAGAAAAGAGAGGCAGTTGGCTTCCTGAGCATGGAGACTGTTGAAGACTTGATCTTCAGAACTGTGGGAAGTGGCGAGAACACTAAACAGCCAAACTTATCTGGCCCACTTAACCCCTGCAGTGCAGTGAATGGTGGGCTGGTGCTCTGTGCAAGAGCTTCGAAATGCAGCTTCTGGGGCTACAAAATCACAAAATCAGCAAGAAGGTTTTGTCATTGGGAGCATCTGGTTCAGGCTCTACAAAGCTCTAGTATTAGGAAGGGCTAGTTACTCCCTCACCAAGAGGAAGGCGGTCTATGGGGTGGATGTGTGTTCCAAGAGGGAACCCTCTGTACCCCTCCCTTGGCTCCCCTAAGAAGGCTTCTTCTCTGAGGATGGGCTATGCTAGTCAGGGTCAACAAGGCCAATTTGTAGCTTCTAGCCAAAAGACTGCCAAGCCTAAGATACTGGACAGAGTCCAGAAGAAATGACTTTGGTTTCTCTCTTGCTCCATATCACCAGAATAATTTTCACTGAGATGAAAAATTTGGACTGGAATGTGTCTCATGGGAATCACTGGATTTCTGCAGGATTTGTTGGTTGGTTGGCTGGTTAAGCATGTTTCCTTTGCCAACTTCTTCTTGGGGGATAGTAACCTTAGCATTTGCATTCAAAATATTCACTGTAAAGCACTGTTCTTTTGTATTCTTTGAAGGGCCATTTTCCTGTTTAAAAGACGATTGTGGAGGGAAACAAAAGTCCCTGGCTTAGTTGACATTATTTATGTCCTTGTTGAATCTCAACTAATGTCTTGCTTCATGTGCCCTTTTCTCTTCTCCTTTTTCTTCTTCTTTTCTTCTTTTCTTTCTTCCTTCCTTCCTTTCTTTCTTTCTTTCTTTTTTTTTTAACAGATACTAATTTTGTGTTGGGAAATGCCCAGATAGTGGACTGGCCTATCGTGTACAGCAATGATGGATTTTGCAAGCTGTCTGGCTATCACAGGGCGGAAGTGATGCAAAAAAGCAGTACCTGCAGGTATTTATGATTGGGGCTGTTCTATTGGACAACCTGTCATGGTGTCTTTCAGAAAAAGAAAATGGCTGACTCAATGTGGGAATTGCCCTTCTCTCATTCATTGTTTATTTGGGAATATTTATGGCGCTATCACCTCCAGTTCACGCACTGTGCTGGGAAAATCAAAGACTTAAAACATCGTCCTCACAACTAACGAACTCGCAGTGAGATGGGGGAAAACCTAGGAAAACTCAGGAAAATCATTTTATCTGTGAAATGCGAACTCAGGAATTTATGGGGGTTTCGATAAAACTGAACATTAAAGTTAGAAGATTAAATAAAATTAAATCAAATTTTAGATGATTAAATTAATTTTAAGATTTAAGACTATTTTATTTGAAGAATAACTGTAGTGTTGGAGACAAGGGCCTTGTTCATAGGGCTTTTCATTAGAAGAACAGAAGAGAAGCAACATTTTGTTGCCTTCTAATTCTTGTCACATCCCTCTCTGATCCTTAACTCAAAGAAGGTGGCAGATGGAGCTAGCAGTGTAGCTTGTGTGTTTGACAGGGTTACTAACCACACAGCACCCTTGGGCCATGGTGCTAGAACAGCTGTTTTAAAGCATCTTCAAGGTGTTGAGTGGGGCATGTTGCAGACTTTGCCTGCAGTTCCGTGGGAAGGTCTTGGCTCAGCATTCTTTCCCTCCTCTCACTCCCTTCCTTCTTCAGAGTCCTCTGTCTTCGGTGTGTTTGCATGAAGCAGACTCATTTCCCCAGTCCTGCCAAATCAACAAAGAAACTCATCTATGAAAGGTGGACAAAACTTGTCCACCCCAGGCATCATCTTTGGTTTTCAGAAGTTGCATTTTCATGGTATTAAGTCAGCCAAGTAACGAGTTTGGTGAAAAGTATGAAATGTCTTGAGAATCTTATCATTGTCTTAAATTGTAGATTTTGGGGACTGGGAAATAGAAAGCTGAAGATTTTCCCCCTCATTGCTCAAAGGTTTAGAAATTATGACTCTTAAGTAATGCAACAGAATTCTCTCATATTCTTGGTATGCTTTTTATACTGTTAAGTATCTATATCTGCATCTGCGTCTATATCTATATAGGTGCACATACAACTACAACAAATTGGGAGAGTTAGCTTTCCTTTCTCATGTGACTTGAGCAGCCTTTCCTTACCTATCTTGCTGCTTATGGCTATAATCAGATACATGAAGAAAATCAGATAAATTTGCTATTTTAGCCAACTTTTCTAAGAAACTCGTTTAACTCCTGAAGTGTCCCTTCTCTAAAGTAAGCATACCTTGTGCTAGCTCTGTTTCTCATAGCTCAGGAGCCTCTTCTGCTAACTCCTTGCATTGCAGGCATCTGAAATCTATTGTCCAGGAAAAGGAAATGTTTCACCGACCAGTAAGCTACAACTTGAAAAAGTACACAGGGTGAATGAGAGCTGGCTGTCATTACGGTACTTCATTTATTTGAAGACTCCATTTTCCAGCCATTTGTTTTACCTTGTGAAGGAAATTGCCAGCACATATGCCATCGCATCACTGAAATGGAGGTCACTTATCTACCAAATTAACTCAGAGAAAGTGGAAGGCAGCTAAAAAGGCTTGTGAGCAACCGGCTACATAAAATGGTCGTAGAGCTTCAGTTTTTTCCTCCTAGGGCTGATGTAGTCTTGATCTATCTTCCTTTTTAAAGATAATTCAACAAGCTCGGTTATCTCTCTTTCTGGTTTACAGTTGAAGAGCACAATCCAAAGGCAGAGTGCTGCATGAGA